ATGTCCTAGAAGTAACCAGAAGTCCTGAACTTTGAGCTCTGCCCACCATGTTTTATTTCCTAAGAGGTAGCATCTAGATTAAAATGACAATAATCTATTTAAGGTGATTTGCATAAATACCAACAGCCCCAAAAGATAAAATTATATGTTAACAAGTGAATGATGAACATGAGAACAAAAGAAAACCAGGAAGAGAGAAAAAAAAACATTAATCCAGGAGCAATTGCAAATCCATCAGTTTGGTCTTTTTTTCCCCCATTAATTCAACAAACATTTGTGGAAAACTTACTAAGTACCAAATACTGTGCTAGGTGCTGTAGAAACAATGTGAAATAAAAATACTAAAGACCTTACAGTCTAGAATGATGACAGATCGGCCCCTCTACAATCACAGTGCAAAAAATGTTCTATGAAAAAGGCAAATATGGGTACAGTTGGGGAGCCCAGCAGAGGGCTAAGTACATCATAGTGAGAAGTCAGGGCTGCTTTCCTGAGAAGGCAACTTTTGAACTGTGTTTTGAGGAACAGGTAGGAGTTCTTTAGACAAAATTGTGTAGGGAGTACAGGAATGGAGACATGGGATAGTATGATTTTCTCAGTAAACTGCAAGTAGTTCTATATGACTAAAGGAAATGGTGCTTTAGGAGTCCAAAAGTCTAGAAATCATGCTACTTTTCCTGGGGAAAATCTGCATTTTTGGTGTTGGTACGAGTTAGGGAGGCATGGAAACATGCCTTAGGAAAGGGTTGGTTATAAAGACTTCTTTGACTGAAACCAAAAAAAGTTAATTTCTAACTGGAATTTGAAAACTAGATGAGATTTCTTAGAGATATGGTATGACCTTTACTGAATTCACACTGGACAAGCTGACTTCATCTCCCTCTAGAGCAGCCCTGAAAAATAGAAATGCAATGTGAGTCTTATGTGTGACTTAAAAAAATTTTAGGAGCTGCATTTTTTAAAAAAGTGAAAACAAACAAGTAAAATTAATTTTAATAATATATTTTGCCCAATACATCTAAGAAAATATAATTTCAACATATAATCAATATTGCCTTGGTTAATGTCTTATTTTGTATTAAGTATTTGAAATTCAGTGTGTTCTTTCCACTTAGAGCATATCTAACCTTGGACTAGCTACATTTCAAGTGCTCAATAGCCACATATGGCTGGTGACTACTGTCTTGTACAGTGCCCGTATTGAACTTGACAGTAATGGCTTGAGAATCTCTGCAGATCCGCACCAAGCTATCAGGAAAGACCTCCTTTAGCAAAATCTATGCTGAGGCATGATTATTCATTAATATAAAGATAATCCCAACCAGATAATCTATAGCAGGAGATAATGTCAATGTGATTTTTACCAAACTGTAGAATGTTTTCTTTGTTTACAACCTAATATTGATAATCCAGGAACACAAATCTTTCCACAAAATAATGAACTCCTCTACTAAGGTGTAAGAGTAAAATGAAAAGTTTCTCTGCATTCTCATCCTATTTGGTTGGTTAACACTTTGCTATTCTATCACCTTTCGGGCTGATTCGAAGTTCCAGTTCAGTACAGACTAAATCTCAGTCCACCACTGAAATCCCCAATAGGTATCAATCAACAAGAATCTTTCAGCCAAGATTGGCCTTGAATATGGGCAGACCCTCACAAAACAGCTAAAACAGACATCTTAGAACTGGTCAGTCATTCCCTCACCTGATTCTATAGGTGTAAACACTCCAGTAGAGAGAAAAAAAATCACTGGACTTGGTGGCAGCATGCCTGGGTTCAAGTCTCGCTGTTTATTTTTCTAGCAAATCAATTAATCTCCCTGAATCTCAATTTCCTTTTTTATAAGTGAGGAATAAGAATAATGACTCAAAAATGACTGGCATTGGTATTAAATGCCACAGATGCATAAAAACATGCCTGTGAACCAAAAAGTGTTAGGCAAATTAGGTATAACTAATATTATTTTGCCCAACTATGTAGATCTTTCAGACTTGAAATTTCTCTTACCTGCACTCTAAGTACCACATCCTTCTTTTCACTCTATCCTTCGCTCTTGATATTGTTTCCTTTATTTTCATACAATCCTGTTGAGCCCTATCCATTCCCTGACATAAATTTCCATTCTATTAGCCATCCTCACCCCCTGAATATTTTCTCCTGCTATTTGAAACAAACATTTTGTTGTGAACATATTCATCTACATATCTACCTTCACCCCAAACACTTCCTCCTTAACATGAACTGAGGCCTGGTTTAACCACAAGTGCCTTCATTTTCCTTGTAGCCCTCCCACACCACAGGGCTTGAATAAAAGCCCTTTTCACATGAAATGCAATATTCCTAGTTCTTACTACCTAAGTGGTGGGTCTTAACAGTATTCTTAGTAGCAAAAGTGTAGGAACAATTTAGTTCAAATCATCATTTAAAGCAGATTAAATCATTTCCCATTGGTATAGATCAGGAGTGGGGAACGTCTGGCCCGCAGGCCAAATAAGGCCCTCGAAATCATTTGGTCTGGCCCTGCCAAAGCATTAGTGGTGAGTTAATGAAATGTTTGACCAAATATAGCAGGCTAATTTTTTAAGTTGAACATTTTCTATAGCCTACAAATAATGTTATAAATATCCAAATGGCCCTTGGCAGAAAAAAAGGTTCCCCACCCCTGGCATCAATAACTTTGCTTCAGCAAGGGAAATAGATGATTGTTCACACAAAACCTTTGGCATTTGATCATGTGCTCATTATCTTAAATGTTAATATTTTACAGAAAGCAAATGAGTTCTTTCACTAGATATTTCGCCTTGGTAAAGACAATAATGTGAACCTTAGTAACTTATAAATCCATAGTAAAGAGAGTTGTGTACTTTGTTTCATTTTTCTTTTTCAGAAAATACAGGGTGTCCCAAAAAATGTATACACACTTTGCATAATGATTAATTCCAATGGGTTAAATCTGAAAAGAAAGAAACATCAACTGAGCTATCAGCTGTTAAAGTGTATGTACATTTTTGGGATACCTATAGTTTGTTTCTTCCAATATACCTTTGCCCAACATCAATCATGCGTGGGATCTGAAGTTTTGATACATAAAGTGTGCACAGTAATTGAAATAAAAACAAACTGCATCCTTCTGCTTCTATGAAATAAAGGCTACTTTTCCCTTTTCAAAGTTTGTTATGATCACAAGGAGAGGAGGAGGGGAACCGTGAGGAAAAACTGTAAATCTTGAAATGGGCAAAAAAATATCACTGAGTATCTGACAAGAACACCTTTCTGGACAATTTCTGCCTTTTATTGTTTATGAGTTATTTTGCAAATCTGTAAGTTGTATATAAAACTAACATAATGTAAATGATTCCTATCCAAAGAAAATCAAGTGAATTGTGTCTGGTGGAACATGATTAATGACTACTTGATAAATAAACTGGTGCATCTTTTTTTAAATGAATATCACCATTCCTCAATTCCTACGTATGCATGCTTCCTTGAAGACTCCTTTGAACTAGTTTTAATATTTTACTAGTTTCCTCACTAATGAATGAAATAATAAAGTATTTGATAGAATTTATTTTTTATTTGTATGAATCCTAATTTTACCTCTTTTTTTTAAAAAAGGTATCTTTTACAAATTGGTAGTCACAAAATAGTCATGGGGACTTAAAGTACAGCACAGGGAATATAGTCAATAATATTATAATAACTATGTATGCAGTTATCTAAAAGGTATCTTTTAAAGATAAAGACTATACATTGACTAAGGAAGGTAAGTTCTTAGAGACCCAAGAAATCTGAGCTAGGGGTATCATATTATTCTTGTTTTATAAATGAAAAAAAGAAAGCAAAAGAGGAGAAGTAATTTGTCTATATTCAAATAATTAGCAAGAAGCAAAACCAGAATTAACAACCTAAACATTTGGCCTCCAGAATCCATGTGATGAACCATCACACAATAGTTCTGTACAAGGTGTTCTTGCTTTAAAAAAAAAAAAGACAGTACTAAACATTCTTAGCTAATATTTAAACCAGGGTCTCTCAACCACAGCATGATTGACATTTGGGGTCTAATAATTCTTTGTTGTGAGATACTGTCCTGGGCATAGTAGGATGTTTAGCAGCATCCCTAACTTCTGCCTGGTGGCAAACTTCCCTCTGCCCCATGCTGTGACAGCAAAAATATCTGGAAGCATTGCCAAATGTCTCTTGGAGGGAAAAGTACCCCTTCATGAGAACCATTGATCTATAATCTCTAATACAAACTAGCAAAATAAAATCCTTGACATCTTAATAAATAAATATTGTGAAGCAGAGATAACTTTCTTTAATGCCTATGAAAAGAGTTGAATTAATCAACAGGCTGATTTACTGGTATAAGGCATATTTCACAATGATTACCTTATGGCTGACTGTATTTCATCAGCAGGAAGTGTGTAGTTTTTCGTAGGATCTGTAACCACAAACCAGAATGACACCCTCTGGGTTATATTGCAAAGTAAGACATGGGAAATTCTGCAAATGATGGGAAGAAAAAAAAACACTGTAAGTAAATTATACCACATTTCATTGGACCATCCACTCTGGTGTTATTGCCATCTTAAGAGATGTCTTAGCTATTAATGAAAAGTAATTTCTACCATTATGAAGAGAGGTATTATTAAGAATAAAATAACATAGGAAATTTCTTTTGTTTCAAAATCAATACTTGAGGACCATTCCTTAAATAAGGACTCTACCAAAAAAATAAAATCAAGAAGAATTATTTAGTAGAGAGCTTTAGGGACTTCACTTTCCATCACCTGTTAGCTGGCAGCACCCCTGCCTTCCAAACACTGGGCCTCTCTGAACCACTGAAGCTTCTCGGATCCAGATAAATCCATTGCCCACTCTTGATCCAATAGTTGCTCTAATGGCCACTATTTCTGTCCCTCTCCCACTCCAGTATTGGGGTTGGACCAATAACAGACCTCCAAACTGAAGTGTTATGTTCAGTTTACCATAAACCTTTGAACACTGTTTTTGCAGTTACCTGCTTTCCAACCGTAAATTGGAAATGTGCTTCCCTCTATTCATATACATGTATCCACCCACCCAAGGGCACCCTGACCTCTGTGCTAAGGAGACAGTACTGAGGCCTCTCAGCCAATGCAAGAAAAGAAAAAGGAGATTTGACAGACATCTCTGGTTTGAGACCTAGACACCAAGAGAAGGAGGCCAAGCCTAGAGTGCAGGTCGTCTGCCTTCAAGCCCGTATGGAGAAACGGAGTGATCCTTTCCCTTGTGCCCAGGCCTGGGACTCTGCTCCTGGTGCAACAGGTCGAAAGGAGGACAATACCACTACCCTCCCTAAGCCTTTCCTGGCTGCCATCCACCCTGATGCAAGGACATCACCAGCACAGGTCACAGAGTCACAGCTGGAGACTGTGAGAGAACTGTCATGCTGGTGTCTTATTACTTGAGGCCCTGCCACCACCAACTCCTAAGATTCAAAACCACAGTTCTTTTACCCTGGTGAGTACTACTCTGCCCCTGCATGAGTCAAGGATACTACCAGGTCACCTACCACCATGCCAGCTGGCAGGTCTGCCAAGCCCCAGAACCCCCTCTCCTTGTCTGGTAGCACCCACATATAGAATCACTGCTAACAATCAAACATTTGCCTTCCTCCCACCCACCTACTCACCCCTACTGCCTTTTCCTAGGAACACACTAATGAGGAAGGCATTTTTCACCCCTGCTTGTCCAGTTTGCATACTAAAAAGTTTGTTCTTATTTTAAACATTAAGTATAGGCATCGTTATTATCTTGGAGATTGTCAGTCTTTCTTTCAAAGATTCATATAATAGGATTCTTCTACACCACAGTTTCTCCAGCTTGGTACTGTTAACATTTGGGGCCAGATAATTCTTTCTTGCTTGTTGGGTGCTGTCCTCTGTATTGCAGGGTTTCAGCAGAGTCCCTGGTCTCTAACCTCTACGTGCCAGCAGCATACCCACATTGTTAAAATGTCATTGCCAAATATTCCAGGATGTGGGGGTGGAGGGGCTTGGAAGGAGGTGTGTGTGTGTGTGTGTGTGTGTGTGTGTGTGTGTGTGAGAGAGAGAGAGAGAGAGAGAGAGAGAGAGAGAGAGAGAGAGAGACCGACCCTAGTGGAGAATCTCTGAGAGACAGTGACCTCTACTGGCAGAAACTGTTAAGCTTGTTCTCCCAAAATGTGTGAGTTTAAAACATGTCCAAAATACAGAGAGATGAACAAAATAAAGTGCATGCTTGGCAAAATTATTTTCCCTAATTTTGTAGAATGCTGTAGTGTGTGAATTATTCATGGTTTTGCCCTTATTAATAATCAGTGTAAAGTTTTTTTTTTAATGAGCTACTTATTTAAGCTCTGCAGGTTGTCAAAAATTAAAAAGTAAGATAGCAACAAATGCTGGTAAACATGTAAATTAGAATCCCAGGCAGTGCAGTGAATGTCCATGGGTCCAGCCATTCTGGAAGTGTTTCCTAGAACAGAATGTGGCTACCAGAAGTTCTCTTACAGAGAGAGAGAAAGAGAGAACTATATCAGTGAGACTGTTCTCTGTCAAACTGTTTGTCAGAGCTAAGAACTGGAACAACCTCAATGTCCATCAGTAGGGGAACAGATCACGTAAATCTGGTCTGTGCTATCAAGCCAGTCCACAGATTCAAGGAAAGAAAGAGCCCAGGGCATCTGGACTATTGAGCCAGATAATTCTGTGTTGGGTAGCTGTGCTGTGCGTTGCAGGATGTTTAGCAGCAACCCTGGCCTCTCTCCAGTAGTTGTCATTAGGCCACCTCCGCTAGTGACAATCAAAAATGTCTGCAGGCATTGCCAAATATCTCCTGAAAAACAAAGATCACCTCCAGTGAAAAGCTACTGAACTAGAGCTACACTTTTATAAATAAAAGGATAAATCTCAAAAATACATTTATTGAATGAAAAGGATGGGAGGTGTAATGTTATATGTAGCACATGCCATTTATATAAATTAAACAAACACCAAGTAATACTGCTAGCATAAGAGAGGAGGCCAGGAGCCAAGTAAGTGGTCATTTGAACATTTGCCTATGATTTTCCTTCCACCTAAAGTCTCTTTAAATACTGCTCAAACATGAATTTTGTGGTATTTGTCTTTAGAGGCAGAAAATAGCTCTATTCTCCCTTGGAGCTTGATTTCTAAAGGGGTGGGGACAGACGATAACCAAGTAAATAAATGTACACACTGCCAGGTGGGAGAAATGCTGTAAGAAAAATAAACAGGAAGAGGAATACATACACTCCATCAGTTCTTCCCTGTGTCCTCCTCACCATGGTACTACACTGTCTCTTACTATGAATTCAAGTTATTTATTCAGTGTTTCTTTGGGGTGCCAACTCATGCTTTAATACAGCACTTTGGCAAATAAAGTAAAAACATTTGAAATAAAAATTCCCAAAAGATTAAAATGATGCTGAAAAGAGTAAAACCAACATTTTCAACGAAGATAGTTACTGTTAGGTACAAAACGTCTTGGACTAAAACTCTACAAATGACGCTTTTCTTTGGAAGATTACTTCCTGTTATTTGCTAGATTAGAGACTAGGCTTTTCACTCTACATGACTAGAAAGGGCTTGAGATCTTAGTGTGTTAATGAGAACACTGCTGGCATTTTGAGGAGGAAATTCCTCATTATGTGGCAATGTCCTGACATGGGTATCACATTGGTTATCTCTCATCCCCACCTTCTAAATGCCACAACAATTTCCTATAATAGATATAACCCAACAACACACCATTTCCATATGCAACCTTGATATGCTACATGGCTGGAATCAGTACTATACCCAGGTTAAAAACACTTATAAATCTCTTCAGACATATCAAGGTCATGAAAAACAATGGAAGATGGATAAACTGTTAGATTGGATCAGCCTAAAGAGGAATAGATTCTAGAACAGAAACAGGACATTAGTCTAAAAAAGGGAAATCTGAAAAATGCCACAGTTTAATAACATAGAGCCAATGTTAATTTCTTAATTTTGATATATTTATCATAGTTATTTAACACTAGAGGCCTGGTGCACGAAATTAGTGCATGGGTAGGGTCCCTAGGCCTGGCCGGTGATCAGGGCCTATCGGGGCCTTCCGGCTGCTGACCGGGGCCTTCATTCCGTGCCGCCCCCTGGTGGTCAGCACACGTCATAGCGAGTGATTGAACTCCCGGTCTCCCAGTCCAACTTCCAAGGGGACACTGCATATTAGCCTTTTATATATACAGATAATAACATTAGGAAAATGGGTCTAGAGTAGAAATTCTGACCCTCAGTGCATTTTAGGCTGGCTAATTCTTACTTGTGAGAAGTTGTCTATTCTTTTGAAGGATTTATGCAGCATGCCTAGGCTCTACACACCAGATGGCAAGAACATATCAAATTGTGAAAAGCAAAATGCCTCCAGACATTTCCAAATATACTCAGGAGCAGTGAAGGGACAAAATACCCTCAGGTTGAGGACTACTGGGATACAGAATCTCTCTGCATTATCTCTGCAATTCTCTTGTAAATATACCTTTTTTTCAAATTAAATACAAACACACAAATACAGGAGCAAAGCAGTTATTTTTAAAGTTCCCTGGGCACACTAAAATGATCTACAAGAATAAAATAAGACAATGGATTAAAAATAGTTCTTACTTGCTTCATGGATAAAGAGATAACAGATACACATGTACTTAGAAAATCAGGAAGAGGTGTGCTCAAATGCAAGATAATGGCATCTGTCAGCATAAGGGTGCTTTTAATATTTACACAAAATTTTAAAAATGTGTTCTGTTGTGTACTAAATTTTATCGAGTATTTATTAGGATACCCCCCCCCCCACTGTACTGGTGTCTTAGGAAGCACTATTTCCATAATTTACCCAAGACTGATATTACCAAAAAAAAGGGCAATACTTTTAGCTGCATAGGGTCTTCTTCAACCGAATACTAAGTATACCTCCTGCATGGCGCTTCCAGGGAGAATAGTAAGTCTAAGACGTTAAACAAAAAAATCACTGCCTTTCCTCAAGTGTGGGGAGGCCTGGACTGAAGGTGATTCTCCAAGAATTGGCTCCATTGCCATTTCTCATCAATGGCGCCAAACAGGGCCAAGTGCATCCAAGGGGTCTAAGAATCAGGCTCTTGTTTCTGGAAATCAAAAGGACTAAATAGGAGCTGGGATGCTGTCTTACAAGCACAAGACTGTTAATCCCCTTACCATGGATACAACAGCACGTTGTTCCTTTTTTAGATCACAAGACTTTTCCTTGAATAGGCAGAGGAGGAAACCCATTTGTGCCCTACACCATTAACTCAGAAAGAAAATGTCATGCCTGAGTTAGACTTCTACCTCTCTTGCTAAAAATGATAGATTATCTTAAAAGCCAATATTTGAGTAAAATTTTACATTTAGATTATATTTTCCATAGAAATGATTTTCAATATTTCAAAGTTCCTGTGAAGCTATTTTAGTAAATCTGGCCTAAATCTTATTGTAAAATCTTGAAAACACCTGGTTGTCATCTTCAATCAAAGTCCCAACAAAACTTCAAGTAACCTGACATAATGAAATCAGAACTTTCTATCATTTAAATTTTTCTATACATCTTCCATTCTACTATTAAGAAAATCCAAAAAAAGAAAACCACTTGCTATCAAGGATTGTAAGAAAATACTATGAGCACTAGGATAGGGGTGGACTACAAGGGGTCAGTGGGAGAAAAAAAGGGGCATATGTAATACTTTTAACAATAAGGATTTTTAAAAAAAAACAAACATTTGTTAGTAATGATTCCAAAAGAATCATATTTAGTCTGTCCTCCTATAATATCTGGTAGAGCCAGCTTCTTGGGTGTGGGGGCCTAAGCTGTATGAAACCTGGTTTTACCCATCATTTAAATATCAATGCCTACCACATACTACTTTCTATTCTTAATTTAATTCTCTGGATCCAACCACAGTAATGCAGTTCAACAGGCCAGCCTCAGTAGACCACAATAAAAAAAGAGGTCCATGTTCCCCTCACCATTGGCTTTGGGTGCTCTGTCAGCTCTTGCTTCTTGAAGGCATTTGGAGCAGTTGGGTAGCTTTCCTGTCACTTCTGGCTATTACAAAGTCTCTCCCCTCACATACAACCAGACAACTGTACTCTCTGTGAGCAACTCTCCACCTGACTGGAGGCTGAAAGGGAAACAAGCAAGGCGATCACTCAGAACACACAGTCACTGGTGCGGCATGGGCCCCAACTCAGCATGGGCCCAGCTGTCAGCACCCCACCTGGCTGCAGGGTGTATACACATTGGAACTCAGTCCCGCCCGAGTGCTATGGGGAAAAGAGTGGAAATGCCACAGCCTCTCTGTAGCCTCACACCCTCTGCCTCTCCGAATCCCCAGCCTTCTCTCCCACCGCCTGCTTGGGCTGATGGGGACTGGATCGGTTCAGCTCTCCAGCACCTCCTGCGTGCATGCAGCCAGGCCTCCCTTTAGAAAGGACATTCTCTTTCACAGTCAGTCAATGTTACACTGGACCAAGAATATGCCAACTGTGGGTTTCCCAATATGCCAGGACATCCTCAGGAGATACTGAGCTCGCTGTCATTGGAGGTGATTAAGCTGGTATAAGAGATACTATAGTAAGGACCAGGCAAAAAGTGGGATGAAAATGAGAGTACTACTCATTATTCTGTTTATTTCTTGACTATCGTTAGTGAGTTACTCTATAACATTTTCAATTCAGTGCATCTCAGTATCTTCAAGTTTTCTGTAATATTCATAGAATAAGCAATAATGGGGTGGGCAAAACAATAGACAGCAAATGTTCAAGATTTGAATCCCTGAAGCCATCCCAGAAAGGGATATTTCCAGAATTCACTCTGTTTCACACTGGCACCAGAAGACCTCTGAAAGGCAATATACTTTATTTATTTATTTATGTATTTAAAATATGTTTTTTATTTATTTTAGAGAGTGAGGAAGGGAGAAGGAGAGTGAGA